CATTGTTTGTTGTCATGGTCTTGTGATGTAGGATGAAATGATGCGTTATATTTTTTGTTGTCATGGTCTGATGCTGTAATCTGCAATGATGTGTTACATTGTATGTTGTCATGGCTTTGTGATGTAAGCTGAATTGATGTGTATGTACATTGTTTGTTGTCATAGTCTGAAGATGTAGGCTAAAATTATGTGTTCCACTGTATGTTGTCATGGTCTGATGATGTATGCTGAAATGATGTGTTACATTGTATGTTGTCATGGTCTGATGATTTAGGTTGAACTGATGTGTTACATTGTAAGTTGTCATGGTCTGATGATGAAGGCTGAAATGATGTGTACATTGTATGTTGTCATGGTCTGATGATGTAGGTTGAACTGATGTGTTACATTGTAAGTTGTCATGGTCTGATGATGTAGGCTGAATTGTATGGTATGTTGTCATGGTCTGATGATGTAACCTGATCTGTACGGTATGTTGTCATGGTCTGATGATGAAGGCTGAAATGATGTGTACATTGTATGTTGTCATGGTCTGATGATGTAGGCTGAATTGTACGGTATGTTGTCATGGTCTGATGATGTAACCTGATCTGTACGGTATGTTGTCATGGTCTGATGATGTAGGCTGAACTGCACCGTATGGTGTCATGGTCTGATGATGTAGGCTGAACTGTACGGTATGGTGTCATAGTCTGATGATGGAGGCTAAACTGTACGGTATGTTGTCATGGTCTGATGAGGTAGGCTGAACTGTACGGTATGTTGTCATGGTCTAATGATGTATGCTGAACTGTACGGTATGTTGTCATGGTCTGATGATGTAGGCTGAACTGTACGGTATGTTGTCATGGTCTGATGAAGTAAGCTGAACTGTACGGTATGTTGTCATGGTCTGATGATGTAGGCTGAACTGTACGGTATGTTGTCATGGTCTAATGATGTATGCTGAACTGTACAGTATGTTGTCATGGTCTGATGGTGTAGGCTGATCTGTACGGTATGGGTCATGGTCTGATGATTTAGGCTGAACTGTACGGTATGGTGTCATAGTCTGATGATGTAGGCTGAACTGTACGGTATGTTGTCATGGTCTGATGATGTAGGCTGAATTGTACGGTACGTTGTCATGGTCTGATGATGTAGGCTGAACTGTACGGTTTGTTGTCATGGTCTGATGATGTATGCTGAACGGTACGGTATGTTGTCATGGTCTGATGCTGTAGGTTGAACTGTACAGTTGTCATGGTCTGATGATGAAGGCTGAACTGTACGGTATGTTGCCATGGTCTGATGATGTAGGCTGAACGGTTCGGTATGTTGTCATGGTCTGATAATGTAGGCTGAACTGTACGGTATGTTGACATGGTCTGATAATGTAGGCTGAACTGTACGGTATGTTGACATGGTCTGATGATGTAGGCTGAACGGTACGGTATGTTGTCATGGTCTGACGATGTAGGCTGAACTGTACGGTATGTTTTCAGGGTCTGCTGATGTAGGCTGAACTGTACCGTACGTTGTCATGGTCTGATGATTGTATGTTGTCATGGTCTGATGAAGGAGGCTGAATTGTTCGTTACGTTGTCATGGTCTGATGATGTAGATTGAACTGTACGGTACGTTGTCATGGTCTGTTGATGTAGGCTGAACTGTACGGTTTGTTGTCATGGTCTGATGATGTAGGTTGAATTGTACGGTACTTTGTCATGGTCTGATGACGTAGGCTGACCTGTACGGTATGTTGTCATGGTCTGACGATGTAGGCTGAATTGTACGGTATGTTGTCATGGTCTGATAATGTAGGCTGAACTGTACGGTATGTTTTCATGGTCTGATGATGTAGGCTGACCTGTACCGTATGTTGTCATGGTCTGATGATGTAGATTGAACTGTACGGTACGTTGTCATGGTCTGATGATTGTATGTTGTCATGGTCTGATGAAGGAGGCTGAATTGTTCGTTACGTTGTCATGGTCTGATGATGCAGGCTGAACTGTACGGTATGTTGCCATGGTCTGATGATGTAGGCTGACCTGTACCGTATGTTGTCATGGTCTGATGATTTAGGCTGAACTGTACGGTATGGTGTCATAGTCTGATGATGTAGTCTGAACTGTACGGTATGTTGTCATGGTCTGACGATGTAGGCTGAATTGTACGGTATGTTGTCATGGTCTGATGATGGTAATCATTGTATGTTGTCATGGTCTGATGATGCAATCTTAAATTATGTATTAACATTATATTTCGTGATGGTTAGATATGAAATCATAATCAGCTCTTGACGTAGAGGTCATGTGCAAATCAGGATAACAAACAGATTACAAATGATGAAAACTGTTGTTTTAGAACACAGTATGGGATGAAAAGGAGATAAATAACCATCCCCTACCTTGAGGGTGAAACAGAGACATCTCAAATCCTCGTTTGACTATTTGGTTGTCCTACCCTTGGCAAAACGTCTGGTTAGACAACCAAATAAATCACCCATTTGGTTTGAGATTTCTCAGCAGTACCCTAAATAAATCGGTTTAGACAACCAAATAAATCGCCCTTCGGGTTTGGAATTTCTGCCAAACCATTGAGGTAGGGAAAAATTATATTGATCAAACTTGGTGGAATTTACGTAATAAATGTGATGTGGGTAATTGACATAGTTAAGTAATAAATATTCCGTATACAGGTGAACGCACACAGGTAGGTTTTTCCTTTGAATGTTTATCGGCGATATCTGTTTTCAAATATTTGTGTGAATATCAGTCTAACATATACATATTATATATTAAAACATAATGAGCATTGTTTCAAATTATCGGTTAGTCTTTAACTATTAAACGTGCAGAATAGAGAATAAATACCACAGGAACGGATCCAGAATTTTCAGGGGAGTGTCACCATACCAGATTTCCAGTTTATTTTGCAACAAATGTATTCTGAACCATATGTCATATTGCACAAAAGTAAGGTAGATACCGGTCTTGGCCCTTCACTTTTTCAAGGGTCTTTATCTCTTTCTTGAGCTTTTTTTTTTAAACATGTTGGGGTGTGAATTCAATTCACTCGATAGATGTAGTATATAATGCGCACTAAAAAAACAATAAATCCAGGGATGGGGTTTGTCACGTGCACTGGTGATCCCTTTGACCTCCTCTGAATTACACGTCAACTGTTCTATGCAGTTATTGTGCAAGGGTCGTTTTATCTCCATAACACGATCCACAACATTCCTCTACCGCATTCAATTCTACATGGCTACCATTAAAACAAGTATAGCAAAACCTTACAAGCTGTACAGTTACAATGAATACAATTTTAACAATACGTCAGCAACACCTGAAACGTACACCACTGCATGCACAACATATGTCCTTACTATACCCAGTTTTAAGTGATCAGTACACCTGTTCTACATGTCCTCACATTGTGTTTAGCTTATTTAAACTACAGGTGTGTGTATTATGGCCGAAAAGCTCATACACAGGTAACTTCACAACACAATATGCACTTACAACTTGTACAGCATGCACCATTACGTGAAATATAATATGCACATTATTTATTTGATTTGCATGTAAACAAGTTGTATCTCATATTCGTGCTCAATTCACCTTGTATGATACAAAAAGTACGGTTACATTTCCATGGAAACATATTTTATATATATATGAATCTTGATAAATCGCGTCTCACCTATAATCGGATATCAGTGTCTTTACCTGTATTCCTGGCTTGTTCACACTCGGCATTAAACTCGCAGTTTAAGATATATCTGTACTTCCTGCTATGTATGATCACATTGTTGGGTACGCTTATTTTTAGAACAGGAAGGCAAATACCTCAAAAGGGTAGATAACGTAAAAGTGTTCCGAAAAGCATAGTATAACCTTTACAAGCTAATCCGTGAACAAAAGTTACAGAAGAAGTATGTCATTTCATAAATATTTACTATTACTAAGTAGTATTTATATCTCGTATGTAAATGTGTTATTTGAATTTTGTCTATAAAAATATAAATATATGTATTATAACACAATATATGTCACTGTAAACAGTCTATAAATAGCAATAGATATGTTTGATATATCAAAGTATGTAGTTGTGCATAACACATATGAATAGATCAAATAAAAATTGTGTTAACAAAAATGTGATAGTTTTATCTGTAAAAATGCAGGTATAAATAGTGATAGGTACATTTATCATATCAAAGCGTAGAGCTGTGTATAACATATTACAATACAAGATGAAAATAAATATTTAAAAGTGTTACAATTTTATCCGTACACTTTCAACAACTACATAGAGTAATCACATATCATACACATGTATTTGCATATTTACATCTTAACAAAACTTCCTCGTCAACTTGATTAAATCTAGAGTGCTACACTAAGTACAACACGTTCAGATTTATTTTGTTGATGTGTTGTGTGTGTGAAATGCTAAATGCCATTTCATCAATTAATATAACTGAACTTTTCTTATCCAGACAAAGATATCCAAGCATCATCATCTACATTTCCCATGCTACTTATTTCATGTGTTACCTTATTACATAGGTTTGGTTACACCGTGTGTAACGTCCTATCAACAGCGTTATTTAAGGACGTTCCTCCATGTGTGTTGTTGTGTAAGCGTGCAAATGTGAAGGAAAACATAATAGTAGTATTCCTATTCCATTTAGTATTTATATCTAGTGGGATGTCAAACGCGAACACTATTTCCATAATTGTGATTACACTAACAATTAATGTAATACAGCTGAGTTTCAAAAGTCAAGCCACTTTGATACTTTAAAAAATGATCCGAGACGCCACCGATATAAACCAAGCACTAACAAGATTCGTAAGTTATTAAGTGGTAGTTTAAACTACAACAGTAATAAGAGATTCATGTTGATATTTTTGTAGCGTGGAAAATCCCTCATGATTCCTGAGCTAACTGTATTGACAGGGAATATAATATGACAATGTATAAGTCATCAAATGACACAAACCTACCTGGGTTTGTCTTCGTCTCCATTTTCGAAGCTTGGAATATTTTTACTTCGTTGTAGTTTCGTGGGTATTATCAACTCTGTCGAATATATTAATAAGATAAAAAATGTAAGCATAATGATGAAATCGTTAAAGCTCGAACTAGCCTTTTCATAGCCATAATTATATTGCAAATGTATAACACGCTTTAGCAAACGATACAGAAATTCACAGAGGAATATTTACCTGGCAGCTCAGATTTCTCTACAGCTTTTAAAAGAATTCGTACCAGTAAGTGAACTTTGTATCGTCAAAAGCTATTTCAAATTTACTTCCTGTGTACGGAATATTCCAGAGACGTAAATGACTTTATATGTCTCTGATTAATTAACACACATACCTGTCACCAACAAGTCGGGAGCATGTGATACTCCTTCTTTCCCACTTCTCAAAGACACAATCACATTGTTCGTAGCAGTTAGTGAACTGTATTAAAGTGTTAAGCTCATGCAACAAATTTTTTTTTATAATAATAAAACATTTACTCTACGGAGTTGGTAACAATATAATACGATGAAAGGGAATCCATTCTATCTAGCGTCAGTGTTCATCAAACGGAGCACAGCAATATAGCAAACGGTACAAAAGCTCAAAATGGTTTGGTAACTTCCTTGTTAGCGAAAATTGTGCATAGTGTTTTGTTTTTTGAACTAATCTTTCTACCACACAACATTTTACCTTTTAGCATGCCAGTGTTGTTTTGTGTTCAACTGTTCTCGGAAAGATAGTCCATGTGAAGCTCAGCTCAGCGTCTTCCACAGGTAGCAGACTCCATCTAGGATGGGGATACAATGACACCGCGTACTACAGGTATGCGGGGAGAATAGAGTCGAGTCTAGTATTTGGAATGTCATGGTTCAGTGGACAAGTTGATCGAACTACTTCCTCATACGTTTAAAACACAAAACTGTTGTTGTGTGTTATACACACGGAATAATATGTCTGTTGTTAAATTTGATATCGTTAGATATCCTGCACGGCGAGAAAAACACCGCTTGAACGCAGGTATATATGTTCATGCTAGGTGTGCCGAGAGATGGCCGATTTGAGTTCGCCGCTCCAAACGTAATGCGTCATTCAACATTACGTACTATTTGATAAGTTTGAATAAAACTTGAAACTTGAAAAAAATGAAACTTGATACACGTAACAAAACAGTACTCTATAAACTGTCATATTGTTATTTGGTGATCGGGTGGCGCAGTTGATAGCTTACTCGCCTTTCACCAAGACGGCCGGGTTTCGACTCCCTTATCGGACGTGAAAATTAAAGGTATTTGTTCACCTGCCCGACCACTTGGGGTTTCTCCGGGGATTCCTGTTTCGCCCACCTTAAGACCCTCTGAGCACTTAAATCCGGGCCAACAAGAGTGACTGCTTATATAAGTTTGAAACAGTTTATTTCATATTTTTTGTAAACTAAATAAAGTTTGATAAATTTCTGTATATCTTTTGTTGGAAAATTATATTGCCGGATGTTTCGACGACGTTAATTGAAGCCCATTCCCCCTACTCGGTTACATCTAACATAGAACTGCCTTTGGTAGATGTCTTGGTGAATTAAGAACGATTCCAATACGTACACACTGTGTTTTGGATCTTCCTTTTGCTTTTATAGTTTTGAATAAGTTATGCATCGATTGTCATCCTCACGGCTTTTTTTTTTAAACTGTGGAAGTGCTGTTCTTGTATGCTTTAAGTCGTTATTGTTGTTCTTTGTTCGTTCCTTATAAGATTTCAGCAGTTACAATTATAGAAGTATTTACATTCTAATACAGGCAAACCAAGCCGCATCATGCTTCCTCGTGTCGACCATGTCTAGCTCTCATTTTACAACCTTCTTTTGTTCACTGCATCTCCGGAGAAAGAATAGGCCCGCTGAATGCGACAACATGGTATCGTAAAATGGTGTTTTAGTAATTGGACCTCCTGAGGAATTGTTTATTTTTAGACTATGAAGCACATCCTCGATATCCAAGGGTTACGCTCACGTACGCTCTCTACACCCTGGATTATGTCATAGCAAAATCTAAGGCTCAGTGTGCAGCACCTTGTGGACGAAACGAGAAGGCTAGTTTGATCCTTTGATGTACATCAAAAGAATCTCGTGGTCGCATAAGGGTAAAACCTTCTGGCTTTAGAGTCGGGCACCGCTCCTCTGTAATCTTCAAAGGACAGGTATCGGTCTAGTACCCCGACACCAATCCAATAGCTAGCCGCCTGCCTTCAATTTTGCTACGATATATTCTAGGGGTGCAGAAAGCGAACGTGAGCGTAACCCCTGGAGTATCGAGGATGACATTGAAGAGACCAAGATTGCATATATCTGTTCTCTTTTCTCTACTTTTGTCCTTGCGGCGGTGTCTCCCTAAGCTTCGGTCTTCATATGACTTTGGATGAAACGAAAACGAGGTCGTAAAACTACAGGGAAACAAATAACACACTGCCCTTATTGCTGCACCTTTGTCTGGATCACGGTTGCTTCCACCTCGGTGTTTTATTGTATTTTTGCTATCCGAGTTTTTCTTTAAATCCTTATGTTATTACAAAAATGCAAAAACAAGTTTGCATGCTCTATTTTATTTGGCTAAACCCTAACTTTATACATGTAAACACATTTACTCTATTCCGGAAATGTCGGTATGAAATGACCAAATTCGTTTATTCAATGAGACGTGACAAACTTTTCAGTATGCGACACTCTTCCATTTCAAAATACTCTCATACAGCTGTTGCAGTGACGTAAAATCCTGGAACCCATCATACCATCATGGGTGTGTGTGGGTGTGGGGGGTCACAGTCAGTTAGTTGATTGCCCAATACTCAGGTCCTTATCAACGGTAAATTAAAAGATATCAGTTTTCCCCACCAACACAGCACCCCTGCTGGTAAGCCTACCGTGCTACATTCGTCTAATGGAGTGCAGGGGAAAACGCTAAAGAATTCGATAAAATAAGGCCTCCTGTGATCAAACCCTAGCCGTTAGTCCGAATTATTCTGACGTTTTATCAACTTTTTTCATATCGGTCTGTCGTCGATTAACGTCAGAACTCCGGCCCGCTATAATATGCGGGAAATATGCGACCCGTGCCCGGAGCGCACTTCAAACTGATATTTTAGAAGCAAATCGTCACTTTCACACACATGTCACACATGGATCGAAAGATCTATTCTTTATGCATTAGGTGGTATCAATAACATGTTTCAAAGATCATTACGAACACTATTTTCCAACGTTTTCTATACCAACCCATGTTTTTAATGGAAATTAGGCCATGAACAATGTCACATGACTTGACGAGATCTCGCGTTACCCAAGGTATTTTCCCAACGTTATGACGTAGGCCGGCGAGATTTTAGACACGTGCCAATAGAAGGCGGGGCTATCAAAAAACTAGAGTAAAACAGAGTAAATTTGAAAAAATATGTTTTGAGTGATTGTATTGGTTGTTTGAGGCATGTTATGTATGTTCATCTTGTGCATAAATAATAGATCTTTCGATCCATGCACGACATGTGTGTGAAAGTGACGATTTGTTTCTAAAATATCAGTTTGAAGTGCGCTCCGGGCGCAGGTCGCATACCTCTGTATTATAGAGGGCCGAAGTTCTGACGTTAATCGACGACAGACCGATATGAAAAAAGTCGATAAAACGTCAGAATAATTCGGATTACCAAGCCGTATGTATGCAAGGCCAGAGTGCTAACCACTCGGCCAAATCCACCTACACATCATCCAGCTGTATAAAACATATCTATTCTTTCCCAGAACATGTACATAGCACTGTATATTAACTTTGTATGGTCAGGCAAAACTATAGCACATATGGAAATGTAGCATTGGTTTGGGGAAAGAATTGGTCAGTTGTTTTCATCTGCTTGTCAAAAAAAAAGGTGACAAATGTGGCCCCCCTGCAGAATCAGACTATTGACAGATATTAAAATAAGAATTTGTGCTTAAATCAGCCCATACATAAACTGAAATTGAAATCAGTGCATTGATATATGCCACAGAGTATAAATCACTTCTTTTATGTCTGAAGGAAAAATCAAGAGACCAAAACTTAGTTCTTTTGCTTGCATGATTTTATTTCAAGGTAATGACTTACAAATAAAATGTTCAACAACTCCCTCAGATGTATATATACATATATACACATTTATTTGATCTTTCTCAAAGCCTTCAGTGGAAGCAAGTTTAGACCTACAATGCTACCTCAGTTAACACTCTTGAGGCTCCAAGATTACATGTAAATAGAGGAATACTGTACACATTTCCAATGAGGACATGATAAAAGAAGAAATTATCGCATTGTCACAGTCTTACCTGTAAGTTTTCGCAATGTCTACTTCCATTTTTCTCCAGTATAAATCACACTTAACTCTTTCAACACTATAGACCATAATGGACTTTTCAAGATCAATGCATGGTACAGTTTACTTAAGTTACAAAGGGGTGAAAGGGTCAACAGCCCTTGCTGACACAATGTTTTCTCCTTCATTTAAATGTCAGAGATTTTTCGGTTTCTGATTCTGTAAGTAACATCTAGGTTTGAAGTGTCATGTATCAACAATGAAGAGACCTGATATACTGGACTATGCCTGATAAATTTCCGTACACTTGACGTCAATGTATCTCCACAGACAACATTCACCAATACCAGATACTGTATTAGCCTAATATATGCCTCATTCCTCAAAAACGCGTCCTATCATTTTCTTAGCTCAAGCATCCAAAACTCACTGCTTGTTTAGCGACTCACTTGTAAAAAGTGTCTATTTTTTTTGGAGAAATTTTCAAAGTTCAGCAGTCACTCAAAATTTTCAAAGTGTTAACCCTTTCACCCCTATGTAACTTTAGTAGACTCTACCATGCATTGATATGGAGGGGTCTATTATGGTCTACAGTGGTGAAAGGGTTAAGCGCCTCAGATTTGTAGTACTGTAGATGGCAATTCTCTCCATTTTGATTAGTCTATTTAACCCTTTCACCACTGTAGACCATAATGGACTCATCCAGATCAATGCATGGTAGAGTCTACTAAAGTTACATAGGGTTGAAAGGGTTAAGCGCTTTTATGATCCAGATCTTTGGATCAAAACACTACCAATGGTACATGGTAGAGATCATCTGTCTCTGGCAGAGGTCGAAGTTCAGGTATTATCTTCCTTTAAGTGAAGGTCAAAGGTTACAGACAATGTTCCTGTCCTTTACAGACAGACAGACTGCTCAGATCACCAGTTCTTGGCAGGGATCATAGATCAATCAAAGGTCGCTGTCTCCTGTTGAGTCCTGAAGATAATCCCAATCCTTACTGGAAACATTGGAATAGCTTAGGACAGAGGTCAAAGGTCATCATCACCAGTGGTTTCCATGATTGCACCTCGATAAGCTAAATCCCAGTACTGTTCCACCCCACACTTCTTGAAATGTTCACGAGCAAATAGTTCTGTTGGGCACACTTTAAATTTCATCTCATTGAACGCTCTTCTTGTTGTTGTTCCCTGGAAAACATCAATTATTTTGTATAAGTGCATAATAAATTAACAATTTCTGACAATTTTCAAAATGTAATGTGATTATACATATACTGCATACCAGGAAACGTTCGCCCAGTCAAATATTCACCCTTTGCTGTTAAAAAATATGTTTGCCCAGTATTAATTTCACCATTCACATGTAATTGCTAAGTATTGTATGTTGTGCATGAACGTTCGCTGTCAGGAGATTTTTGCCCTCATCTGGCAAAAAAAGGCCACCAAGAAAGCTTCATTATTGTTTTTGACAGGTAGGTCGGACCAAACATGTGATTGTTGATTATCACAGTACAGAGTGAACTTCTTACCTCCCAAACAAGGTGACATCGGTTTGTCTTATCAGACTCCTCCTCAGAATCACTGTCATCTGAAACATTCAAGTTAAGGCTGTTAATTTTTTTGTATGGTAATAAAGTGTCTTCACACAAAGCCAACAAGAGGCCCAATGTGCATGCATCGCTCACCTGGTATTAATATCACACTTGTAACCTTAAAAGTGGTCTAAAATAAAGCTACTGGCAAAATATCAGTATTCATGACTATAAGTCATTCAAAAGAACCTGTTAAAAAGATTTAAAAAGATTTAACCACTGTGACCTTGAAAGTCGAACAAGGTCATTACGTTGAACAAACTTTGTAGCCCTCCATCTCAGCATGCAACTTACAAAATATCACCACCCTAGAACTTTTGTTTATTGAAATTAGATCATTTAAATGTTTTTACATATTTGAGTAAATGTGACCTTGAAAGTGGGTCAAGGTCATTCAAATGAAAAAGCTTGATAGCCCTTTGTTACCCTCAATGTTGCTCTATCGATGAATAACCAACGAAACAACTCAATACAGTAGTATAAATGTTGATTATTATAAGAGAAACATATAGCATAGTATGGCCTGAGTATCTGAGCTCCTACTCCCTCCAAGGCCACACCATGACTGATTCTATCTGGCCAGTTCACATGGATATAAACATTTAAGGCAGCCAAGGGAATGGTCAGCATAATATGATACTGTTATCGATCCAGCCACATCCGGACACTGGCATAACTCAATATGACTGATGTGGGGTGCCGTGTTTTGGGAAGCACTCCTGACCTTAGGCGGTCAGATGTACACCGACCACATGCTTGACCTTGGGTGGTCAAACTCCCTATTAACACCCTTCATCCAAGCACGCTTTTATTCAGATGTTGTGTAAAGATTTTTAACATATTTGACCCCTGTGACCTTGAATACAAGAGGCCCAAGAGGGCCTGTATCGCTCACCTGAATATTTAAGCAGTCATAGCAAAATATTCTCATTAAATATTATATTGCACTAAAAATATTTCCCTCGCAAACTTTGTTGGCTCCATCTGTTGAAACTACCAGCAAAATATTATTATAAGATTCTATGCTTTTTGATTCTTCTTCAGAAGTTGCT